GAGCAGGGCGAGCACCCAGGCTCGCTGGCAGGGCTGGGGCACAGCGAGGAGGGGGCTCAGGAGCCCTCGGGGGCTGCAGGGAGGGGCAGGGGGGCAGCTCACGGCCCACAGGTGACACATCCCATGCCAGGTGCCCTGGAGGAACTTACCTTGGCCACAGCAGGGGGAACCGGGTCCTGCAGAGAGGAAAACGGGCAGAGGGGCCAGAGGGGTCACCCAGGCCACAGAACGGGTTAGGGATGGGGGTCCAGACCCACCCCAGGGGCCACGGCTCCTCCAAACACCAAAGCTCTGCTTGGCTGGGCTTCCCTCACACAGCCACGGCAGGCTGGGCTGCAGAGCCCTCTGCCACACGTGTCCCAGTGTCACACGATGTCACAGAGTGTCACACAGTGTCCACAGTGTCACACAATGACCCACAGTGCCCCACAATGTCCCACAGTGTCACACAGTTCCCCACAATGTCCCACAGTGTCACACAGTGCCCCCAAAATGTCACACAATGTCCCACAGTGTCCCCATGCAGACCAGGTGGCTCCAGCCCAGCACAAAGCCAGGAAAAACCAAACCTCTCCTCTTGTGGCAAAGTGTTCCTGTGCCCCCTGAGCCACAGCCCTGGCACCGTGCCCCGTGGGTGGGATCCTGGTGGCATTCTGGTGGGATGGATGGGACACAGGCATGGCAGCATGGCTGGGATGATGGCTCTGAGCTCAGAGCTGTCATGCAGTGAGGATGGGTGGCCGCAGTGGTGAGAGGGTGAAGGAAACACTTTCTTACCAGCCAGCCCTCAGAAATCAGGGCAAACGTCCGAGGAGGGGCAAATCCTGTCAGGCTGTGCAGGAAATGGCAAAGTCCTGGCAGGCATCCTCCTGGGGAAGACACCAGAGGTTATGCACCTCACACCTGCCACGGGGCCACGGGGCTGGCACAGATGGGGCACAGGTGCCAGCCGGGGACAGGACACTGAGGGGACAGCAGCAGGAGGGGATGAGCCCTGCCCAGCCTGGAAATGTGGGACAGCAAATTCCCTTCACTGCAGAGGAGCCACAGCAGCGCCAGCTGCTGCTCATCCCTCCCTGCAGGAGCTTCCAGGAGAGGCCTGAGCCCAACAGAGGGCAGCTGGCACCTTGAGATGCCACAGCGGGACACACCTGCCCCCTTCTGTCTCCGAGGAGGAAATAATCATCCAAGCACTTAACTCTTTCAAAATAAAGTTTTATTGAGTAACAAAGGAAACTGGTTTAAATAAAAACAGGAAGGAGCCTGGCCCCTGGTACCCCCTCCTCACTGCTCCTCTGCCATCCCCCTGGCACAGGCACTTGCAGAGTACAGAGCACGACGCTGGTGAGCTCAGGGGGCTGGGCTGCCCCCCAGAATGTGCTGCCCCTGCCCGAGGGTGAGACTGGTCTGTCTGATCCAAGGAAACCTGACAGGCAGCACGGCACTGTGAGCCTCTGCCCCGGTGCCAGCGTGCACAGCGCTCCCTGCACAGCACAGAAAATGTTCTACGTAGAAAAATGTCCTACAAATTGTGCAAAAATATCCAGCAGCTTTGAGTAACACGATTCAAGTATTGCTACAAGGTTTGTGACTCTGCCCTCAGCCCAGGGACACGGAGCTGGCTGCCTGGGTGCAGAGGGTGCTCGGGGATGAGCAGCTGGAACGGCCCCCAGGGCACTGGGGACAGCCCTGGGGACACTCTGCTGCTCAGAAACCCAAACCAAGAGCACACATGAGCTTATCAGAGACCAGCACCCCGCACTGCTTCCTCGTGAAACCTCAGGTGCAGTTCAGGAATTCAGGACCCTCAGCAATTCACACACTTTTCTGCTGCCCTTTGGTCTCCCACCCACAGGACACAACCCTGGGGAGCTCCAGCTCCCAGACCTGACCCCTGCAGCCTTGTGCATCTCCTGAGAGTCACAGAGCACAGAGTGTTTCTTCTTCCCTGCTAGATGAGGGTCCCCTGCCTCGTGTCCTTGCTGCAAAACGTGTCTGACCAACTGGCAGGGCCAAAGCACAGCCCCAGGCAGCACAGGAGCAGCAGGGAGCACCCAGGACATCCTCACCTGCCTCCAGGGAGCCACAGGAGCCCTTCCAGGTGGGAACAGGGAGTGTTGATGGAGCTCACAGGGGCACCAGGGAGGTGACACCTCCTCCAGCCCAGCCCCGCGCGGGAACCATCTGCCTGTGCCACCTCCCAGCCTTGGCCCATCTCATTCCCAGCAGGAATCACAGCAATTCCCTGGAGCTCAGGGTCTGGGGGCTCCTGGGGACCCCCTGTTCCAGCACGAGTCCAAGGGTCCCACAAGCTGTTGGGCTCTGTCAGGCAACACCCCTGACAGGCCACCTCACAGTGAAACAAATGAACAAAAAGTAATAAATAAATGTAAAAAAAGAAGGCAACGCATGGCTCGAGTCTTTGGCAGCTCTGGGTGCCAGGGCTGCCCGCCTGAGGCCGGGCATGAGGCAGGGGAGGGAACTGGCTGGAGCAAGGTGCAGGCACAGCAGGCACTGGACACATCACAGCACTGCTAGGGAATGCCTCCTACCATGCTGGTGTCACTTTTGGCTCCAAGGGAAGGGATCTCACTCTTGGGACTGGACGGGGTCCCGACATCTGGCTGGACAAATCCTCTTCTGTCTATCAAACTGCAAAACAGGAAGGGAAGGGCAGTTCAGGGAGCAAGGACTGAACCTGGGAGCTCACAGGCCACAGGGAAAGCTCCTCTCCACACAGCACAGCACAGACAGGATGCTGGAGCACAGGGCTCCTGCCCATCCCATGAGCCACAGACCCCAGCCCACGAGCCACAAGGAGCTCTGGGCCACCACAAACCCAAAGGGGAACTGGCCAAAGGCCTTCACAACATGAAAGCCCATGAAAGAGGAACAAACTGGAGTAAAATGCTGTAAAATCTCCTCCCCACAACCTCCTGGCCTGGCTCCCTGAATGCAGATTGACCAGCTCTGAATGGCAGCACTGCATTTTGGCACCTCTGAACCCACCACAAAACCTGGGGACACTGCAGAGAGCAGGGCCTGATACAAAATATAAACCACAAAATATAAACCATGCTTTACCCTGCTGCTGTCAGCACCACAGAGCTGCTCCAGGACTCCAGCCTGGATCCCCCAGGGATCCCCACATCCCCAGCAGGCTGGGAGCTCCAGGCAGGCTCTCAGAGGTGAGGAGCAGAGCAGGGCCTGACCCTGCCCAGCTGCCCTGTGCTCTCCCATGGCAGGAGGCAATTCCCAGTGCTCTTACCTGGGGTAGAAGGGTCCACACAGCACTGCACAGCAGTTTGTGAGGATGCTTTTATGGCTGTAGGGATTGGCAAACTCCGAGCCCCTCTTGTTTGACCAGGAGCCCTTGATCTGAAAGGGATGGAGAGAGATCAGGAGGGGAAGGATGGAGAGCAGACAGTGACACAACAACAGTGGATCCCTGCAGGGGTGGAAGGTTTGTCCCAGAGCACGGGGAGGACACCTGCAGGCACAAACAGCCACGTGCTGCCTCTGCTGAAGCGCAGCCCTGCAGCTGCAGAGCTCCCAAGCTGTGCCCTCCCCGTGCTGCACAGCAATGTCACTGCCACTGCTGTCACCCCTGTCACCACCTGCCACACCACCCCGTCCTCCCGCTGCCCTCGTGGTCCCCATGCTGGCACCCACCAGAGCGGGCTCTGCTCCCTCAGGCTGCACAAACAAACAGCCAGGGGATTCCCAGCCCAGGGGCTCCTCTGTCCCCAGCCCTGCTCTGAAACTGGCTGTGGCACAGGGCTGGGCAGTTGCCACAGCTGCCTCAGGCTGCACTGAAGCAGCACCAGCACCTCCACCAGCACATTTCCTCCCCTTGTTTTGCTTCCTCCCCCCAGCTGCAGCACGAGGCTGGAACCATGGTGCTCCCAGAGCTGGGTGCAAACTGTGAGCTTCACCCACACAGCCCTGAGCTGTTCTGCCACACCTCTGAATGTAAGGTGGAGGGGAAAAGGGAAAAAGCAAATCCAAAAGGGATGCAAACACACTTTCTGCAGTGCTGGAAGCTCCCAGCAAGGATTACAGGTACTTCTGGCCAGAAGGGCGAATTTTGATTCTGAGGATCAGACAGATCCTGCTTTTCCATACAATCTGCCCCACTCAGGGCACTCATTTGGTCCTTGGAGCCTGTGCACAGCCCAGGTTTGAAGGCAAATCTCATCAGATGTCTGTAGATTGCTTGCTAATTAGAGATGAGGAACTGCCAGACACAAAGGGACTGGCCCAGGGTCTCAGAGGAAACCCGTGGTTACACGGGATGCTGAATTCGGATCACCAAGCTCACACCCAAATACTCCCCTGGGCCAGCCTCCCTTTTTTAATCTCACAGCTCCTAATTTTAAGCAAGGCCACAAACAGACTGGAAAAAACACACACGTGATGGCCCTAACTGAGCCACCTGAAAGTGCAGCCGTGGGCACAGGCTGTGTGCTCTGCACTGGGGTAGCACAGGCATGAAACCCTGCACTGGGGCAGCCCAGAGTGCTCTGAGAGCTGCTCAGGATGGGTCACAGGCAGCCTGGCAGCAGCACAGGCATGCAGGTACTTACATCTTCGTTCGTCGTCAGGTTGGAGGCGACCAAGTAAGTGTGAAAACCTGAGAGGCCCAAAATGGACCAGACTGAGAAAAAACAAATCACCAGCTCCAGCACAGTGAAAGAGAAGTCAAGGAAGTCTCCAGGAACAAAATCATCCCACAAGGAGAGACAGAGGACTGTTTGGGGAGGTTTGGGCAAGCTTCCCATTCCCTGAGCTGGTTTGCAGGGATCCACCAAGGCACAGCCTGCTCCAGCTCTTCCCTTTCCACCTAAACCTGCAAACTGGGACACAACCCACCCTTAGTCCCAGGTAGCCAGGGGACTCAATTACTGTGGGGAAGGGACACCAGGGTGAGCTGCAAAGAGCTCCTGGCCCCTCTCTGTTAGTGATTAGCAGTGCAGGGCACCCCGAGCAGCTGCTGCCAGCACAAGGATATCTCGCAGGGGTTGTCTTCAGAGTGGCCAGGAACCCATCCCTCTGAGAGCCTGCAAAGCAAGAGAGAACAAGGAATGGCATCCCAGCAGCAGCCCTGCCCCTGCAGCCACAACTCCACCCCGTGGGCTGTGTGGCTGTGTCTGTCTGCCTGAGGAACACCCGCCCTCTGGGATGCTGCAGGAATGTCACTGCAGGGACACGGCTCCAGGAGATTTGGGGCTGGTGGCAAAGTCACCTTCCCTGCCAGGGTAAGGGTGGGAGCACCAGCAGCTCACCTGCTCTGGGAAGCAAATCCCCCTCGCCAGCCCCCAGAGCCCCTCTGCAGCGAGGTGAAGCAGACCCGTGGGACCCTCTAATCCCTCAGATCCCTGGTGTAACCCCACAGAGCCTCCTGTGCTGTGTCCCACGGAGCAGAGCAGAGCTGAGCTGGAGCAGCACAGCCCCCGGGCAGGACTTACGCAGGGTGAGGTGGGTGACGACGCAGGCGAAGATGAAGGCGGTGAGGAAGGACAGGGACAGGATGAAGGCGTAGAAGTAGCGGTAGTTGCGCTTGCCCACGCAGTTGCCCACCCAGGGGCAGTGGTGATCGAACCTCTCTGCAATGAAGGCTCCAGGTGAGGAGGGCTCCTGCCACCCCACAGCCAGCACGGAGTACACTCTGCTCAGCCCCCCAGAGTGAGGAGCTGCAAACCCATCTGCACCCCGAGGGCAGAACCTCTCTGCAGCAGTGCAGGGGCACAGAGTTTCCATGGTGGCTGTACCAGCCTGGCCACACACACTGAGGAGCCTACAGCAAACCTTGTGTTTGTTTACAGAACCCTCCACCCAAAACCAGGGAACACAGAGCCATGGAGTCTTGCATGTGCTGCCCCTTGCCTGAGACACTGCACTAGTGCTGCTTTTGATTTAAATGCAAAGGAGACAGACCATGCAGTATCCTGTTTCATAATCCTTCAGGAGAAGCAAAAAGCAATCTGTCCAGGAACACAAGTGACAGGACCAGAGGGAATGGATGGAGCTGTGTTAGGGCAGGGGCAGGCTGGATACTGGAACAAGGTTCCTCCCCTAGAGGGTGCTGGCACTGCCCAGGCTCCCCGGGGAATGGGCACAGCCCCAAGGCTGTCAGAGCTCCAGGAACATTTGGACAGCACTGCCAGGGATGGCCAGGGTGGGATTTTGGGGTGTCTGGGCAGGGTCAGGAGGATCAGTGATCCCTGTGGGTCCCTCCCAACTCAGGATACCCTGTTTGCTGCCCAGCCCAGCCCTGCTCACCCACGCAGTTGTCGCAGACGCTGCAGTGCGAGGTGCGCGGCGGCCGGAACATCTTGCAGGTGTAGCAGTACTTGAGCTTCACCACGTACTTGTTGATCACCACCTCCATGGTGCGGGCTGGGGGACGGTACGTGGAGCTGCCCATGCTGTCTGCAGGGACAAGGAGGGACACTCACAGCCCTGTGCCACCTCCCAGCTGGGGCAGGGGTTGGCAGGGGTTGGCACACGCTCTCCTGCCTTTAACAGCACACAGGATTTGTTGCAGGGTGGGCAGCCAAGAGCTGCAGTCAGCTCCAGCATTATTTATGGCCTGTCTTTGTTCAGTGCTGATGCTGCTGGGATGCCAAGAGGAAGCAGTGAGCGCCCAGTGCTGTGGAACCTCAAGCAATTTCCAAACAGTGAGTGTGAAGCAGCAGCAGCCCAGGAACACCAGCTCATCTCTGCGTGTCCAGCAGGTCACACCAGGCAGCCTGGCTGTGCAGGCACGTGTGGCTCTGCCACAGGAGCATCCTGCCACTGCCAGCACACAGCCTGTGCCCCCACAGCCTGCAGGGACTCGCCTCCATCACTGTGGGGAAGGACAGCAGCAGGTCTCGAGTGCTCCAGTAGATTCCCTGGAATTTGACATGTTTGTGCTCACAGCACAAGAGGGTTCCCCCTCCTCCAGGTTTAAACTGAGGATTTTTAGGGCCGCTGCAAGTTACATCGCTGTGTGCTGGCACTCCATTATTCCCTGGGGGCTGGAGACTGTTCCTGTACACAGCAAGAGCTGGAAACCCTCGTATCACATTTGCAGTTTTGGGGGTTATTCCTTTTAGTCACTCCCAAAAAAGTACCTTTCCAACTGTGAGGAATTCTTTGAAAATAGTGATGCAACAGCGAGCATGTTAAGAGGATAATAAGTGGATTATATTAGCAGTAACAGCTGGCACATCAGGCAGCATCTGCAGCCAGATTACTGCTTTAGGCCCTTATAAACAGAAACATGGATCACCACTCTGGGGATATTTAAAAACCATCTTTAAAGTCAGATGTAGAATTACTGCCTTGCATCTGTCTTCAGCCGGACAGATTCAAGCTGTCTCACATCAGCTCTGCTAAAGCATTTGCTCCAACCTGTCACATCAACAACGTCCTGAGCTCCTGGATGCAAACACCTCCTTGGCTGTCCCCAGACCAGCGTGACAGAGCAGCTTTTAGAAGAGGACAAACAGCAGCCTGCTCTAAAGAACACCTTGCAGCACAGCAGGCTCAATGACAATACCAAAAAGCATTAACTGTCCTTCAACTCTGCTGCCTGGGAGAAAGCTGGGACTGGACAGGAGCAAAAAGCAGCTGAGCTGCTCTGCAGATCCTCTCTGAGGCACTGCCAGAGGAGCTTATTGCACCTCTCATCACGACTGGTAAACACTGTCAAGCCCCACAACCTGATACTCTGGATTTTTCTCCCCCCTGGACAAACCCAAAGGAGCAAAGACCCAAAGAAGGGGCCTCACTGAGCCCGGAGGGTGCACAGACACACACAGAGCCAAACACAGGGACCAGAGCTCTCACCAATGCGCCTCTCCAGGTCTGCAGCCTCGCTGGGGGTGGCTCTGGGCAGGATCCCTGGGTCCCTGAAGCTCGTCTGGAGCAGGCAGCTGATGACAAAGAAGAAGAGGACGGCGGCGATGATGGGGATGGCCAGGGTCAGGTGACTGGCAAGGAAGGGGCAGCTGTTGGAAGATAAATAAAACGGAATTGTTATCAATCGTTGCACAGACCCGCTGCCAGCTGGGACATCACACCATGACAGGGCAGTGGGCTCAGCAGCCAACCTGGGGCTGGTTTGGCAGAGATGGGGCTGGTGTGATCACACCCCACACCAGGGCAGCTCTGTTACCACCAGGCAGCAGCTGAGGACAGCAGAGGACACAGCCGTGCACACACAGAGCCACAGTCCCCTCCTGCAGAGCACCCAGGGCCAGCACACGACGGGCTGCCCCAGGCCCGAGGGCTGCCGGCAGTGCTCAGGCTCTGCAGCCTCTGAGAGGATTAAGCAACTTTTGTTTCACCTCCCCAGCTCAGCTGTCCAGAACAAAGCACCCACCAAGCAACAAAACCCCTTCAGTCCAAGCCTGAGCCCCTCAGCCATCCACAAAAAGGTCAGTGAAAGGAGAGACATGAGCTTGTTGTCAGCCCTTTCCTGAGAGAACCTCCAGAGCCCACTCTGCCCCACTAGGGAACAACAATCACACAAATCATAGAATCCCCAAATGGTTTGGACCTTAAACACCATCCCACGCCACCCCTGCCATGGCAGGAAACCTTCCACTGTCCCAGGCTGCTCCAAGCCCTGTCCAGCCTGGCCTTGGACATTTCCAGGGATCCAGGGGCAGCCCCAGCTGCTTTGGGCACCTGTGCCAGGTTTTCCCATAGAAACCATGAAATGCAGACACAGACAGACGTATTTGCTGTACACCCAGCAAACTGGAGCCTGTGCAACACAGGCATTCTGCTAAAATAACAACTTGGGAGAGCCCCAGGGCATCCTCAAGCACGAGAGAGTGACTCGGCAAGAAGGGAGGCAGAGCAGATGTCCTGTGTGCTCTGCCCGGAACACAAAGCCCTCACTGTGCTGAGCTGCCCGTCAGCCCCCGACCTGGCACGGAGCTGTCAGGGCACGGATGATGCTGAGAAAGGGGTTTTTCCATCGGGATGCCGTGCCTGCCTCCCGCAGCTGCCTGTCCCTTTCAGCTCATCTGACTCTTCAGAACCTCTAATCCGATCAAGTGCTTTCATCTCCCCACCAGCAGGCTGGGGCAGCTCTGTTCCGAGCCTTGCCGGGATAACGCCGAGATCCAAAGGCAGGCGCGGCCCCCCGCTCCAGCGGCTCCCATCCCTCCCGGGACAGAGACAGGCAGGGCACCAGAACCCTCCGAGGCGTGAGGAACCCAGGGTGCTCCTTCCCCAGCCCCCAGGGCAGCACCGGACACGCCGGGATGCTCCTGGCTCTCCCCTCCCTCGGGCTGCAGGAGCAGGGAGCTTCCCTGGACCAGCTTCCAAAGGAAAGGAAAGATGCAGCTCCCGATTCCCCAGACTCTGCTGCACAATGGGGGCCCTGCTCCAGTGCAGACCCTCCAGGTGGGACCCCGAAGGGTTTCACCATTTAGAAGAAACACTACTCCTAGATCTCAGTGGTGGACAAAGCCAACGAGCCTTGGGGGTTTCCTGGGTGCAATTTCGGGCCAATTCTCTTCTTGGGAGCAAAAGGGGAGACCTGCGGGCTGTATTTAAAGGCCAAGGGGGTATCCCAGGGGGACGTTGAACCCCTCCCTGGGGCCAGACGGAGCAAACAAGGCGCAGAACGACCCCTGTCCTCCACAAACACACCTGGGCACAGGTGATGGGGCAGTGACTGCCCGCAAATGGGCTCTGGGGGCTGTACCGTGGGGAAGGGCAGCGGGCAGCAGGGACAGC